TACCGCCGTTCCACGCCTGCCGATGGACATAGATCGCCGTACCGAGGTTGAGCACCCCACGACAAGGGTCCACCGATGTCCACTCGGCATCCCGGCGACAGCGTCCCAACAACGCGGCTCTCCGCCTCGGCAGAACATCAGGCACTCCGTTCGCAAAGACCTCGCCCTGGTATCTATGTGCAGGCGCTCCGGGAAGCGAGAAGCGCCCGTAGTTAAGTTCAAGTTCGAGGGCACGTATCACGTTCTTCGTTCACCCGTATGCGAACCCCGCAGAACCACAGGCACAGATCCTACTGAATGACTGTGAACCAGGCTTCTCGGTAGCATATGCGCGTGCGCAGCCCCGGGTTTTGAGCCCTGAGGTGAACTGCGATGCCGCTATTAGGCGGCCGGGGCCGCAAGTCACGATCTAAGGGCGGGAACTTCCGCATCGTCAGCAATATTGAGAATGAACTCTGGCTGCAGTGGCCTGGACCTCAGCTGGCGTTCTGGTTCTGTAGTACTACAAGGGGTCTCCCGCCTCCGTCTCCGTCACGGCATCTCGGTCTCTCGACGGACCGTCCACACCCGGCGCATACAAACTTCACTGTGGCTCTGGGTGGGAAGAGGGGTGAAGGCAATGAAGGTATCACCGCCTCGGGAGGATTATGGGGTACGTGGCATTTGCATTTATTATGGTGTATATACAGATATCATTACTATACCACTGGTAGCGTTCTGTAAAGGACGTTACGGTCAGGAGGGACCAACTTCGGACCTCATTGTGGCCTGACTGCGACCCAAGACTGCGTTCCTTCCATGAGCTGCGATGTCGGAGCCACTAGCTCTGCTGATGGGTGGATGACCTAGGCGATGAGCCCCACCGTGGTTTGCATTCGATGACACCGCTTACTACGGCATGAAACCCGCACTAAATGCCTCGAGTTGAACTCTATTCCTGCGTCTCAGGCGACAGTCGGGTGCAGTACGATAGAACCCAGATTTCGTTCAGTAGGTAAGTTACGGTGCAACCCTATGCACAACACCTGACCACACACGACTCCGAACGCTTTCGTTAATCGGCACCGGAAAGCATGATCTCGCGTCCAATCCGCAATAACGAAGTAATCCTGACCAGCAGTGTTGATCCTCTGCCAGATAAGTTCAAACCGGTCGGCTGGTGTATCCCAGTGTATCCCATGCCCAACTCCTTGAAGCTAGTACTGATATCGTCCGATGCCGCGTAGGCGCCTCAGGAACCCGGGAGAATCTCTTGCGATGTCTCGCACTGTACTCGGCTCACTAGTACGAATTGGCTGGTGAACGGAGGCCACCCCTTGATAGATTATAGGAGACACCGAGCCTGCTTTACTGAGTTCTCGCCGAGTTCGATGCCAATTTTGTTGAACAGCGGCAGTTGTATTTTGCCACACCTCAAAACGGAAATACAAAATGATCGACATGGACCCCCATGGACCCACCGCCGTCGCTACGACGGGCAGGCTCGTTCACCTCTCAATGTATAACCCATTCACGACCACCCACCCCTGCGAACTGCCCTCGAGCCCGTCTATCCGTATAAAGGGCCAAAGATCCAAGAGACAGCCCAACGGAAGAGTGGCGGTGTCGCTTTCCCCGGTGAGTTAGGACGGTGGCTCATCAAAAGCCTCAATTCGTCACATCCCCATTCAGTAAATCCCGATGACCGGAGCGAGCGCTAGCGCTCCAGCCGTCCCAATATGATATTCAGAGGCTCGCGTCATTGATTCTTAAATTTGAGCACTGGGGGCCACGAACGTCGCCCCAGCCGGTGTGCGCATTGCACAGTCCTGTGCGACGAACCAACGACCCTCACCCGCCGGGAGGTCTCGCCTTTTGCTTCCAGGCAGCTTCAATGGATGCTATGCAAGTGCGCCGGCGCCGGGGATCCAAGAGTTACGATGCTCGCGCCTGCTCGCCCTTGGCGGTCTTCTGGCATTCAATTTCGCGCGAGGCGCTCTGCCATTGAAGATTGAAAGGTACGCTAACGGCGGTTAGGAGTACTTTCGATCCTTTCCAAAAATCTAAGCTTTTTAATCTTCATGGCCTGCAATACTGTCTGTTCACAGAAGACTTTCACCTTGTAGGAGACACCTATGAAGTTTATATGTGGCATGTTGCGTACAGGTGGTGAGTGGCGCAAGTGAAACAACCCAGAGGGCGCTGCGCCTTGAACTGAAGGGGGCAGTCATCAACTGAACACCGGAGTCCCATGTGTGAGCACAACTGCGGTGCCCGGCGCTGGCCACGTCACTCGTTGCCCCTAAACAATTGGGCCGGGCTCGTAAAGTCCTTGCAGGCTCTCTCAAGTCTTGTTCGCTCTTCCTTCCGACTTTTCTGTAGTGTTAGTAAGTAAACAAAAGACAAGACGAAGAGAGACCGGAAGGGTGAAGATAACCGCCGGGAAGACCGAAGACAAGATCAGCGGGAGATCGGGATCGGGCGCGGGGTTCCGGGGTCCACGGGATCAAGAGCAGGCGTTGAGCGTTTGTTGGGCGTGGTGGGCTTGATTGGCTTCCGCCAACGGCGTCTTATATCCCAACAGGCCATGCCGTATCCCCGAGCCTCTTCTCCTTTTCCTCCCCGACCACCTCCTACCCGAGGTCGTGTCTTTCGCTTTTTCCCTGCGTTCAGTTCGGTCTTACGGAGGGATAGGTCGCGGCTTCATCTTGTGGTGAGTAGTACCGCATATACCGGTACCATAGCGACCTCGTTCACACACTAATGCGAGGCTGAGAATCCAGCGTGTTTGAATACTAGACTTGCGTAATGTTTTCCGCGAAGGCTTCCTTCCTCGTCTCGCTATGCGCATCCAGCGCACTGGCCTTCACCCCGCCCGCAAGGCTCGACATCCCTCTCCTCCTCAGCCCGGGCGGGAGGCCTATGATGGGCGTGGGCATGGTAAGCAACCATCGCGTTCCTCCGTCAGATGTTGCTGACAGATTGTTTTCAGTCTTCAGGACAGGTCCAGAACTTTAACTTCACTTTTACTACGAGTCTCGGCTACACTGCAGTTGCCGGGGATGGATGTCAGGACTGTAGTGGTACTTCTCTGTAAGTCTGTTCGATTGCTTGGACTCAATGTGGCGGCGGTGCTGATTAAACTAGTTATGATATGTCGAAGTCATCGTCTGCGAAGAGCTTGAGCGGACAGTCGGCTATGTCGCTTGGTAATGGCACATTCGAAGGGTCGCTCATGAAGGAAGATTGCCAGATTTACATCTCAAATGGCTCCTCCTGGGCGTACCCCAACCAGACCGGTATGATTCACATTCGACTCTGGATGCGTATGCTGACCCTTTTGCCAGTTATGCTCATGAACAGCCAGAGTCAGGGTGCCCCGTTCGAGCAGAGCATTTCCGGGCTTCTCGGGCTTGGTACATTAAAGAAGCCAACGAATGCTGCGGGCTTCTCCGCCTCCTTCGATGACGGCCTTTACGGGCAGTATTATATCCGCAACCCCGACGCATCCAACTTCACGTTCGGTCTAGATCTGAAGCCTTCCCCGGTCATTCCGGGCACCGGGTCTTCCCTGACGATCGGGCCCAACGCGAAGTCTTTGGCTGACTCAAACGTTGGAACCGTTCACTGGCTTGCTCCGGATCAGTCTGTGTACCAGTCGGACAAGGTGCAGTGGCGCCAGGTGCAGGACAGTGTTACGAGCGGATACCTCACGAACAATACGCAGCCGGACCTCACGGTCCAGCTTGATAAGTGGTCCGCTACAGTCGGGAACAATCAAGTAGGGCAGTCCAACATCCTCGTGAATGTCGACCCCTACTATCCGGGCATTTACATGCCCATGCAGCAGGCGAGGCTCATTCGTAGGTCATCTCGGGTACAACCAGTGCGCCACACGGCTGACCGACCTTGTTTCATAATCAAGATGACGCTATTTCCGGCTCGCAGCAGGTGTCGCATTCGACAATTCCGGGGCAAACGAACGCTTGGATCGTGCCGTGCAACACGCAACTCCAATTTACTGTCGTGATTGGCCAACAGTCTTTCTCCATCGACCAGTCTGTGCTTGTCGTGAAACAGGACGATGGGACGTGCTTGAGCATTATCGAGGGGTTCACTGACTCGTCGGTGACTCAGTACATCTTCGGGCAGACCTTCATTTCCCAAATTTACGTGTGCGTACCGTCATCCGCCCTGCAGCTCCCATTCCACGCCCATTCACGCCGCGTCTTCTCCGCAGCATCTTCAATATCCCCAAAGACGGCACGGCAATCGTCGGCTTCGCGCCGCGCTCCGTCTCGTCCTCGCAATCCCGCGACATCGGCGCGATAGTCGGTGGCACCGTCGGCGGCGTAGCAGGCGTCGTCGCGCTTGGCCTACTCGCGTTCTTCCTCATCCGCCGCCGGCAGGACAACACGTTCTTCAAGCGCGCGGCGGAGATCGAAGAGGAGCACAAGGTCGCGAGCACCGTCGAGCCGTACACGTTTGGCCAGAACCTCGTCGCGCACCACGATCCTCTCCAATCGCCACCTGCGCACCCGCACGCGCCGCTCCTCGGGCTGCACGACGCGGGCCCATCGGGCGTCGCGCCTCCGTCGTACGAGGAGGCGTCTGAGAGCGGACTGTCGTCTCCCCGCACGTTCCCCCGGGATTCGAAGATGACGTACCGCAGGGATACACTGATGAGCGTCGGAAGCCCGCCCGAGAGCCCGAACCACACGAATTTCTCGGGCTCCAGCGCAGTATAAAGTTCGTAGTCGACTGATGAGTGTCGGTGCATGTTTGGTGTGATGATTGGGCCGGTTGGTTAGGAGGACAGTATGTTCTTGTCGTAGCTTTCCGCATGTACGGTATTCAGTATAGCTATTATATCGTATTGTTAAAGAAACCTCGCTTACGTCATACAATCGTGAGCAGTTTCAAGGGTAAATTTGGTGCAGAGGTTGTAGCTACCAGTCATTATGGGAGGGTAGCTATACACAGCATATCTATGATAACGTTGATGAGTCAAGGCTACTATATGCCCCATGGCTGAGTTGGTTACAGCGTCCGACTGTTAGATCCCTTGTGTGTTCATCTCATCGGAAGGTCGTGAGTTCGAGCCTCACTGGGGCAGTTTATTTTTTTCAACACGATTTGGCTCAACTTCGTAGGAAGTGATATGACAGAACTTGGGCACGAATGAGTGCTCCCTGTCACGCATCCCCGAAGAGCGTACTTCTCACAGTCCGAGGGTATACGGCAGATCCTCGCAGCAACCCCGCTTATTTAAGAGAAATGACAGCATTTGTTTGTGTGGGCCGTTTAACGTCATATTATCAGTGTCCCTGAACCCAGTTGCAGTCGGCTCTAGCCGTTATACCTACTGTGAATAGCCATAAAAGATTTCAAAGATGTTGATAAGCGAGACGACCGTCTTGTGGGGGGAGGGGGGGAGGGGTGAGGCGCATTGCGGGTCCGCGTGTTTGTCTATGCAACCCTCGAGTCGTTAGTTCGAACTAATACTCGTTCACCGATCCTTCAGCTGACGATGCAGTGATACATTGGCATATCGATACAACACGTGCATGTTATAGAAAATTGTCCACAGCTCAAGGCTTTGCCTTGATGTTGCTGACGATAAGGCTCTATATAGGCCGTGAGCACATGCTGCAGTCTAACGTTGGATACTAGACCGACCTTGTATGCCTGTACATCTCCCTTGAACTTTGACACAGTGCCGTCCGCACATACCCAGAGCTAACGCCGACGTCAGGATCGACTCGCAACACACCGCGACATCAGCCCAAAGCTTACCTCCTTCGCGACCTTCGTAATGAAGCGCTCGTCGTGAGAGATGAGGATAACACCGCCATTCCACGAGCTCAGCGCGGTCATGAGCGCGTCCAAACCCTCAATATCGAGGTGGTTAGTCGGCTAGAATGCTACATCAGGACAATTCAGGGGGCATGAAACTTCGGTGCAGCACACCTCATCGAGCAGCAAGACATGCGGCCTTTGCAACGAGAGCATCGCGAATGCAACGCGAGACTTCTGACCTCCCGACAGGGTGCCGATTTGTTGAAGACTGCGAACACAGAAATATGAGGGAAACTTCCGCTGAATGCGTATCAAGATATCTTACCCCGTCATGCCACTGATCTGGAAGTTGCCAAGATGCCCGCGATACTCTTGTTCGGTCTTTCCCGGGAACTTGGATGCGAGGAACTGCACCGGCGACATGTTTGGAATAAGGTTGTCGACGTGGTGCTGTGCGAAGTACCCACTTCGATGGCACAGGCGCAGGTCAGGCGCTTTCGACGAAGTATTCATTTGTACTCACATGCGAAGCCGTCCGTTTTGGCTTACATGACCAGACAGAGGCTTGAGTTCGCCAGTAAGCAGTTTGATCCTGGGTGTTGTTTAGTTGAGGGTCGTGAAAATAGATTGTTGTCGCTACTCACAGCGTCGACTTTCCAGCACCATTGGGACCGACAACTGCGATACGGGAGTCGAGCCCAACGTCGATGTTGATGCCCTTCAGCAGTATCTTGTCCGGTGTGTATCCAAAGGAGGCCTCGTTGAGCTGTAGTACAGGTGGCGAGATCTTTTCCGTCTCCGGGAACTTGAACGTCTCAGTCTCTTCAACTTCTGGCGGTTGTAGTTCCGGAAGCTACATACAGCACTCATGAGCCAATGCGTAAAGTACAGAGCCTAGATCGGAGCACCTTTTCGAGAATTTTGATCTTTGACTGGGCCTGCGCCGCACGGTTTGCATTATACCGCCACCGGTCGATAAAGGCTTGTAGGTGCTTGCGGTACTCCATTTGTGTCTCGTACTCCTTCCGTAGGTTCCTGTCACGCTCCGACTTCGTGGAGTAGAACTGAGTGAAGTTGCTGCACTGGGGATCAGACGGGCAACATAGAAAAAGTGCATTTGCTTACCCCTTGTAGTAGTCGAGACGGCCCGAATGCATGTGGATGATGTCCGTAGCGACAGCGTCCCTGTACATGATCAGCCAAAAGAAAAGCCATTCGGCCCACGAGTTTGAACTTACAAAAACGCTCGGTCGTGAGAGCTATACACTCTCATCAGCATCGCGGAAACCAGGCGTAAAGAGGATTGTTCGCTTACACCACAAGTAACGTACCGGGCCATGTCTGGAGGTAATCCTCCAACCATGCGAGAGCATTTAGATCGACTGCACGGGATATCAGCCTTCACTCTGACGAATGAACGATAGCATCATACTGTGATTAGACGGCTCATCAAGCAACAGCAGTGCGGGCTAAACACCTGTATGTAAGCGAGGGCCCTATGCATAAGCTCGAGACAAGATTACCTTTACAAACAATGCCCTCGCCAGTGCAAGTCGCATACGCCAACCTCCACTGAACGACTTGGTTGGTCGCTGTTGATCTTCTTCGCTGAAGCCGAGACCTAACGTCCCATGAGCACCGCTTCGCGTGGCGGTGTATCATTTTAAATCTCACCAGCAAGAAGTGCAGCAGCTCGTGCAGGGCCGCTCTCCGCTTCCATCTCAGCAAGACGTGCGTGCACTTCTGCTAAACGTGTTGATGCTTCCTCTCGAGCATCCTCAAACCGCTTGTCGTCGCCCTCACCCTCGAGCTCAGCGAGCTTGGCATTGAGGGATGCTTCCTCACGAAGTAAAGTGTCGCGCCAAACGTCGGCCTTGAGGACGGAGTCAATTGCAGGTGTGTCGTCGCCGACAATCTGATGGGATATGAGACGACAAGGACAGACTCGGCGCGATGGATAGACATACTTCTTGCTCAACGAAGAGAATGGTGATGTGTGGTGGAATGGGCACTTCACGCATAGCGATGTGCCGGAGCAGTGTCGATTTACCTACACCGTTCCGGCCAATAATACCATATCGACGTCCGTAAGCCAGCGTGAGTGAGGCGCCAGAGCTATATGTCAAGTCAGTAGGCGTCCAATTGTCATACAGATCAACGCCTGCATACAGGATACGATTGGATCCGAAGTTGACGTCGATGGAATTGAGGTGGATATCCTTCGACTTGTTCTTGGACGCCGCGGCGGCGTCGAGCGGGTTGATCTTCATGAACATCTCTTCGTACGTTTGCTACGGAAGAATCCCTCTGAGAGGTGCGTCTATTATGTCGACGTCTACTTAGTATGCTTACTTGTTTCTTATGCTGGTCGAGTAATTTGGATCCCTCGTATAAAACGGTGCGCTTCGACCTCTTCTCGATCTTGGCCTGCGCGAGAAAGCTATAACAAGCAGTGTACAACAATATCAGAGCGATACATACCCTGAGCTTGGCTTCTTGCTTTTCCAGTTTCTTGACATCGACCCGAGAAGCCCTGATTAAGAATGTTTGTATAATGATGCACAATTAATCAGTACGTGTGTACTCACTTTCCCTTGTTAATGCTCTCCAAGTCAACACCTTCTGTGAACGCAATTGTGCTGCTAATGACGTTCGCTTTGCTGAGATCCATGACCTTATCCAGCCTTACGAGACCTGTTCCCCTTCCAGCACGGTTTTTCTCCTCTCGTCTAGCTAAAGGGTCCTTCAGCTGTTCTGCAAGCCGCTCGACGAGTCCATCCAGATCTCCTTTCTTGGACAAACTCGAAGAGGACCCAATGGCCGAGTCCAAGATATCTCGAGTGACCTGGAGGACATCTTCGTCCTCGGCCGCATCGTCCAGGTCAAGCAGGTAGCCAGAAAGATATTGGATGATGATCTCCTCGGTTCCTGGCAAAGCGTTCCGAATATCCTCAGCAATGTCCTCTGCGGAGACTCCCATAGCGGCTGCAGGTTTCTTGCAGGATTTTCAGGACAATACAAGCCCAGATGTAAAGCTTCAGGATCAAGTTGTGAGCTTAGTGAAGTCGAGTCTGCCACTGGGGCTCGATGGTACAACCTGGTAAAGTAAGGTAAAGCTTTTCGAGAGCGGATCTGAGATCGGGAGTTGATCGCGTGGCCCAAACGAGCGCTTCTATGAACTTGCCTCCTTCCTCTCAGCTCCCAGTGGTTTACCATATAGCAATACTGTGGGTCATTTTGCGCCATAAAATAATGGTACGAAGACGATTTTGAATGCGTTGTATAGGTTCCGTAAAGTAATATCTCTACTAGTTCTCGTAGAGCCCGACTATGTACTGCACAACCCCGGCAAGCCGAGGCTCGACCGGTGGCAGCCGGGATAGTACTAGTAGCACTGGGGCCGACTGGATTATACTGTTCCCAGTACAACTTCTGGACTTATTGTATAGCTGCACTCCATGTTAGGTCCTCTGCTTATGGTGCTGTTTCTGTGGATAAAACCACCGGATCTCCTGAATTTCCCCACAAGGTACCCTTTGTAGGACCCCCCAAGATTATCGTTCTCAGCCTTGCCTGCGGCCCGGGGGTTCTGAGTTTATTGTTGCCCGTTATTTTACCGGACGCCACATGCTTTGTGGCCGGAGCCGGACGACATGTAAAGAGTGGTTTCAAAATTGCGCCACGGCCACCTCACTAATTCCCGATCTCTCCGACCGTCTGGGACTGCACTTTATCTCGACGGTGTCATCACCCCCACCCTTCGTCCATCTCACGATTAAAACTACAGATTCCACACTATGTCACCAACATTAACTCCACGACGAGTTTCTGGCGCCTCCAAAGTTAAAGACTCGCCGAAGTTCTCGAGAAAGCAGCTCAATCCGGCCCGAAACAGTGGAAGCAACGGCTCCAGCGACACTGAGTCTTCCCACTCTCATCCCAAGTACGGACTACTTGACCTAGATGAACCTATGAAATACTCCTTTCAGGGTCGTTGATGCTTCATCATCAGCCAGACATATGACGCAGACTAATGTCGCCTCCAGGATGGTGAGCACGTATGGATCAGACTCACAGAGTCTTCAGATTGGATCCCCGGAGTTGTCTCAGGGAAAGCCGTACGGACCTCTGCCACAAGGGAGGTGAGCCGCGACGTTCTAAGCTCCCCATACTACGTTATGTCCTAAAGGCGCCGTCAGGGTCAAGGAACGCTCTATGCGGTCCGTTACAATAGGACAAAGCGAGAATACTTCGCTCCCCAAAATGGGGAGCTGAAACCCGACATCCCAGAAATTCGAGAACTTCTAGTTGCAGGCG